TAATTTCAACCTTCATATTAGTTCTGGTAGAAGTAGAGTTTTGTAATTTTTTTTCAAATTACTTTTTATTGATTTATCTCAATCTTATTACCCAGATCACAGATTTACTAAGTTAATTCAAGTTAATTCAAGTCTTTTTTCTAGATGTTTTTCTATTTTTTTTCGATTTCATCTTTTAAAACTAGTTTGGTTGGAAATTAAGCTTCGTAATTTTTTTTATTTTCTTTTTATGGAGTTATCCTAATTTCATAATCTGCGTTGTGGATTTGATAGATTGATCTAGGTTGACTCAGTTTATATTTTTATTTTATTTTCACCCTCCAACAACTCAATTTTTATTTTTTTAATTTCATATTTTAATATTTAACTTGTTTGAGAATTAAGTTTTATAAAAAATTTTCAATTTGCTTTTTGTAGAGTTATCATAGTCTCATGAATTTAGTTTTTTTTTTCTTCTTGATTTCAACATTTAGCATTGGATTTGTTGGAAATGGAGCTTAATATTTTATTTTTATTTTTTTATGTAGTTATTTTGGTCTCATGACCTGAATCATAGGTTTGGTAGGTTAACTCAAGTCAAATATAATAGTTTTTTTCAATTCCATCATTCAATATTAAATTAATTAATAATTGATATTCATAAGTTATTTTGATATTTTTTTGTTATTACAATCTAATGATCCATATCTATTCGACATGTCACCATTTCAATATTTGAAAGCAAATGTCATCCAATATGTTACTATATCAATTTTATAAAAAAAATTACTGTTCAATATATATATATATATATATATCATATTTTAAGTTTATAATTATTATTTTTATTGAAATACATGTTAGCACTTCTTTAATATTTTTTTTCAAGAAGAAAAAAATGATTTAGCTTGTGGTGGAATGCTGGCCAATGGTCTTAGTAAGAACTAAAGTGGGTTGATGATTGAGGGTTTTGTGGCACAATTTCTTAATTATGGTTGTACACTTAACTAATATGATTTCCATCCATGTTCAGGAATTACGACCTCCTGTGAAGATGTTGATCCCCATCTGGAAGGCCTTGTGTGATGCTTCTGGCATTAAAGAAGACTCAGACACCTTGAAGGATGTCAGCTAGAAAGATGAGATGCACCTAGAAGTCAGCGGAGGACCATTTGCAGGAAAGCAGCTCTTAAGAGATGATGCTTTATCGTATCCTCCAACGCAGGAAAAAAACAGACCATTAGCCATTCCTACTCACAATTTACGTCATCAATACACTATCATTTCACGAGGGCCGTTTTTCACTGCAGGGAACAGATTGGTGCTCACTTTTTAAGCTACCTCAAGGAATTCTGTGCATGGAGGTATCATCAGGTTCAATAGAGCATGCTTTCATACTGGGTAAAGGAACATAAATTACCAAGTATGATTGCTGATTAATTTTAATGCTAAACAAAATCATGGTGTTTCACTTGTGTCTCAACACTCACTCTTGTATGTTGTGCTTGTTTTTGTGTTCAAAAAACATTTTTGAAAAAAAATTTTCTTGAAATTATTATTTTTCTTTAAAATTTTTTTTCTTGAAATTATTATTTTTCTTTAAAAAGTGTTTTTGATGTTATAATATTAAAATTTAATTTTTTTAAAAAAAATATTATTTTGATGTATTTTTAAATAAAAAATATATTAAAAAAGCAATCACTATTATAATCTCATATCAAATACTGTAATAAAAAATAACCTTTTGTGGCTGGTTGTTATGGATTGAAACCAAGTTATTAAACATGATTGTGATGGAATATATTAACCTTGACTTGGAATTGAACATAATCTATAGCAAGCTTGAATCTTTGCGCAGGATCCATGAAAATGGTGGGTCGTCTACGTAGACTCTTACGGTCTTTGATCGTAAGTTGAGGAAGCATATGGCTCGACATCAATATGAACATAGATGACAAATTTGTCTTAGTACGATTGCCATAGAATAGACCCATTGAACGGGCAGTACTGACCTAATATCAGAGACAATGTCCTTCAGGTGATCCCCGCCCTCTCACGTTTGCCTTGCAGATATACACACCAAGGAAATTTACAGGCATCTTCCCATCAAAGTCCTGGCATGATTGTTATCTCATTTTGTGAGAATTGAGTGTTGAACTGCTGATCATTGAGTTAATGTGACGTGAAACCACAAGGTACTTTGAATAGAAACACGGCAGTCTCCATCTATCAACGATGTTACCAAGGGAGAAGACTAGGCTTAAAGAGCTCTTAATGCCTTCCATCTCTCCCTCTATAGGAGACCTTATCGGGAGATGAGAACAGTTTATTATAGTGTTAAATGGCCTAGAATAATAGAGTTTCTTTTTTACTCACTTGCACGGTTTCGATGTTTGGGACACGACAGCCAATGCCGGCCGAAGATTTGCTGACGACGATCATCTCTTTTGTAACTTGTAAGCTAGCATTGGCTGGCTAGGATGTTTCTGCAGTTCATTTTCTTATACATTTCAGTTTCAACTTGGCCAGGGCATTCTCGTGTTCCCACTGCCCAACTTGCTATCCAGATCTCATTTGCCTTGATCCCCCTCTCCTCCCTTTACATATGACAAATAAACCAGTCCAAAAAGGATTGTTTATTTAGCTTGATTCATTAATTACTGGAATTATTTGGGATCGTTTGCTTGGAAAGAAGACTTTGGAGCGTAGTAATTAATTCCAGCTGGACACATGATTCAGACCATGATCCTATGTTTAGTTAATGCAAGTGCATTTTAAAGAAAAAATTAATATTGAATAAAAAATTAAAAAAAATAAGAAAAAAAAACAATTCATGTTTTCCCATTAAACCTGTGACATGAGTTATTTGATCAGAAATAATAGATTTTTAAAAACCTTGAAATCTAGTTTTTATCTAACCTAATATTGAATGACGAATTTTTTAAAAAATAAAAAACATACAAAATGATAAAAAAAAAAGCAATTGCAAGCAAAAAAAAAAAGCTTGTGCCCACCCAGGTTAATTCGTAAAACTCACAAATAAGGCTATGAGATAGAAAAAACCGTATAAAAAGAAAAACAAGAAAACCACGAAGTCCTTTTTGTTTAAAAAATCAATGTTGAATTATGAGATGAAAAATATAAGTTAAAAAAAAAATTGATACCAACCCTTGATAGGAAACACCAAATATAGAAAAATCATGAATGCTAATTATTAACAAATTAAATATTGAAAGATGAGATAAAAAAAATGAATTTTTTAAAAAACAAAAAACATACAAAATGATAAAAAAAAAAAAAAAAAAAAAAAAGCAATTGCAAGCAAAAAAAAAAAGCTTGTGCCCACCCAGGTTAATTCGTAAAACCCACAAATAAGGCTATGAGATAGAAAAAACCGTATAAAAAGAAAAACAAGAAAACCACGAAGTCCTTTTTGTTTAAAAAATCAATGTTGAATTATGAGATGAAAAATATAAGTTAAAAAAAAAAATTGATACCAACCCTCGATAGGAAACACCAAATATAGAAAAATCATGAATGCTAATTATTAACAAATTAAATATTGAAAGATGAGATAAAAAAATCAATCACAAGAAAATAATGATTGAGATAGCACAATAAAAAGAAAAACGAAGAAAACCATTAAGCTTTTTTTAAAAAAATACATCAAGTAATAAAATTGAAAAAAAATAAGTAAAAAAAAAAACGAATTTTTTAAAAAATAAAAAACATACAAAATGATAAAAAAAAAAGCAATTGCAAGCAAAAAAAAAAAGCTTGTGCCCACCCAGGTTAATTCGTAAAACCCACAAATAAGGCTATGAGATAGAAAAAACCGTATAAAAAGAAAAACAAGAAAACCACGAAGTCCTTTTTGTTTAAAAAATCAATGTTGAATTATGAGATGAAAAATATAAGTTAAAAAAAAAAATTGATACCAACCCTCGATAGGAAACACCAAATATAGAAAAATCATGAATGCTAATTATTAACAAATTAAATATTGAAAGATGAGATAAAAAAAATCAATCACAAGAAAATAATGATTGAGATAGCACAATAAAAAGAAAAACGAAGAAAACCATTAAGCTTTTTTAAAAAAAATACATCAAGTAATAAAATTGAAAAAAAATAAGTAAAAAAAAAAGATATGAACCTGTGACCTGAGCTATTTGACTGGAAGCATCAAAATTTAAAAAATAACAAAACTCAAATTTTAATAAATAAAATATCAAAGGTTGAAATTGAAAAACAAATAATAAAAATAACAAATTAAAATAATGAGGATCAAATTTGAAAAAAAAAATAATTTTGAGGATGAATAATTTTTTATTAAAGGACTAAATTGAAAAGAAAAATCAACTTTATGAAAGAATTAAAGAGTAAATCAGGATGAGAATAAGGACCGTATATAAAAGAATCAGCAAATTTAAAATTTTGATTAAAAGATAAAATTAAAAATAATTGAAAGTTCACCAAATAGATAAGAAAAAAAATTGGATCAAATTTGAAAAACTAAAAACTAAAAAAAGTTAAATTTAATGATTCAATTAAAAAAAACTTACAAAAAAAAATGACATAAATTCTAAATTTAAAAGAATGAGACTTGATACTAAAATATTTCAAACCAAGGCGACAACCATAAAATTTTCAATGTCATAGAATTTTAAGGAAGAAGAGAAAAACAGAGAAAAAAAACAAAATGAAAATACCTCTAGCAACAATATATCCATCACATATCAACATATGCTGCCTCTAAAGATAAAGAATGTCATGGGAAATAGGCTGATATAGTAAAAAAAAGTTTTACTATCGCATAACATTCCACACGCCACTGAAAGTTCATGGAACCTTCAACACACCTCAACACGTGTGACACACGTCTAACATGTTTGAAATTTTATTATTTTTTAATTATTGTAAGGATTAATTTATTCCTCTATCCATAAAAAAAAAAAAAAACCAGAAAATACATAGAAAAATATGAAAATGCCCAAAAAAAAACTAAATAAATTCTAAAGATGAGGGTAAGTTAGTAAATTCAAAGTGCTCTAGACTTTTAATATTTTTATTTATGGAAAGATAAATTTACCCCTTCACCCATTCAATTATAACAAAAAAAAAACCTAGATAAAAATAAAAAAATACAAAAAAACTTAATTAATTTTAAAACCAAGGGAAATTTAGTAAAATTATTTTTCAAAAAAATGTGAAATATCAAAAAAGTCTCTAGAAATCAAATATCATTTTTTTAAGGTAGTGAAGGTAATTTACTATTAAAAAAAAAGGAAAAAAATTTTGTACTCCAAGCAAGACAAAAATGACAAATAAATTACATGGAAAAGATTTTTTCTAATGGTAGTGAAGGTATTTTAATTTTTTACCAAAGAAAAAGACTTTTGTACCCTAAAACAAAACAAAAATAACAAATAAATTATATAAGGAAAAAACTATTCTACCCCTAAGCTTAACCTTATTATCATTTCAATATTACAATGCAGAGTAAACTCTAGTGCTGCCGTGAATTTTCCTCGCCCGGTAATTTTGTTTTCCTTTCTTCGAGGAGCGGATAATTAGATAGGTTGAGAGGAGGATTTCTAAATTTATTTCATGTATGACGATTGTCCGAAATCTTCATCTATTCTGACATTTCTGCTGGCAATATGACCGCTGCCTTAACGGCCTCATCCACTTATTTAAGGTCTTCTAATTGACTGATTCAACCTGTTGCATGTTGTCATATCTTATCATTCCATTAAATCTAAATCATATTTAAACAAGGGACAAGAAGCCCAAGAAACAACCTCACTGTGCCAATATCTACCTTTGATCATGTTCGACCAAGAAATGGACGGAGAGAGGAAACAACGAAGTCATTGTCTCCTCTATAAATGTCATTAGCAAAGTGATTATTGAAGAACGAGTACATGAGTTTACTTTTGGTTGGCAATGGAAAAAACCCCTCGGAGGCTTAAAAAAGTCCGTGCATGATGCTTGCTACTTGTTTATGTTTGAATATGTGGCAGAGTCAAGAGTATACTCTTCATAATATTCTAACATGTTTAAGATATAAATTTTGATTATGTGACCCTCATGCCTTTACTTTCTGTTCTTGTTGTTACACTAGCTGGTGAATCTTGAGGGAAACAATATCTAAAATTCTCTATACGTGGGGTTACCACATACTTCATAAATTCTGTAGCCTGTGTAGTCCCTCTCTCACTATCCCTTCCTGTGTGTGCTTTGTAGTTGCTTTGTAATGGGGGTCTTGAGCTTCTGTTTCCTAGTTTTTTGGGTGTCTCAGGTTGTTTTTGCACAACAAGCTACTGATCCTAATGAAGGTCTTCATCGCTTCATATCTGTACCTAACTGGATAGGTTTATGATTTTGAAAGAAAGCTAATTTTTGTTTCTGTTATGTGATAATTGTGCTTTTGTTGTTCAGTGGATGCTCTTAACAGATTGATAGATTACTGGAATCTGAGAGACAAGTTGAATATTACTAATGACCCTTGCATCCAGAATGCAGCCTGGGCTAACAAACAAGCAAACCCTAGAGTTGCTTGTGATTGCAGCAGCAACACCTGCCATATCACTCATCTGTCAGTATATAACCATCATTGCTATGCCAATCACCCTCAATTCTTAGCTATAGTAGTTGCTTACTGCTGAGGGTTTTGTTTTCATTTGTATTATGGTTCAGGAAGATTCATGCTTTGGACATTTCTGGTGAGTTACCAAGTGAATTGTTTGTCCTGAAGGAGCTGACGAACTTGTAAGAAAGTCAAATTTTATTAGAACTTCCACTTCTCTATTCTGTTGTGGATTTAAATAGTCTGAATTATTTATTATAATGCAGGGATTTTGGTAAGAATGTACTAAATGGTGCAATCCCAGCAGAAATTGAACTGTTATCAAACATGCAACGCCTGTAATTGCCTAACAAGCTCTAAAGATCTTATATTTGCAGAGCTGTTGATGTTTCTTTTAATGGAAAAAAAAAACTGAATTCTCTTTGTTGAGATACTCATAACTGCTATCCCTTGTGTTTGACGATGGCCAGTAATCTAGGCATCAACAATTTCACAGGTGCAGTGCCTCAAGAACTCGGAAATCTAACCAAGTTGATTACTCTGTTAAGTACTATCGGCAAGTTTTTACATATTTTTGTTGTTTTCATGTCATGACTTCTTCTCGGTTTACTGAAGCTGATACTGATTGTATGAGTTTATAACATGTCACAGAGATTTTGGCTCCAACAATTTCATGGGACCACTACCCACATCCCTTGGAAAGTTGAAGTCCTTGCAGGAGCTGTAAGTTGTTCGTAACTAATTGATCAGGATACATGTGGAAGGACTTTAGGCCAGTACTTCTGATAGTATGGTGGATGTACATGTTTAATTGATAGGGATCATTGGACTAGCTGAGTTAGGGTGTTCTCAATTGGGAACTGCATTTTGCCTTATCTTGCTTGCTAGCCTCACTATCTGATTAAAAATTGCTCTTTTTTCAGGTATATTAATAGCAGTGGAGTCAGCGGACGGATTCCGCAAGAATTTGCAAATCTGAAATCTCTCCAAACTCTGTAACTCTCTCAGTTTCTGTGTACTGTAGTAGAGTGTTTTTAGATCCACATGATGGATTGCAAGGTAATTCTTGGATTTTGTACGCTTTATTTCAGCTGGGCATCTGATAACTTGTTCACTGGAAAGCTTCCGGACTTCTTCGGAACTCTGACAAAACTCAGGAACCTGTATGCATGGTTTTCCTCCTTCTATAATGCTAATGCTTTGAAAAAAGATCTTAACTAGTTAAAAAGTTTTAGTTCTTCACATTTCATCATCTGCAGGCGGCTTCAAGGGACACTGCTTGAAGGTCCAATTCCAAGCAGTTTTAGTGCTCTAAAGAAGCTGGGAGACCTGTAAGGCCATCAAATAGGAGTTAAAATATCTTGCATCATCAAACATGCTGTTGTTTTCTAACTCTCAGAACAAGAATGTTCAGCGCAAAATGTAGCAGGCTATATACTAGCAGCAGCTGAATGTTTGCAGATCCTCATGTTTTTTTCCTGCCCTCACTATGATGCGGGACAACAGAGATTTGAAGATAGAAGTAATGAGCTAACAAAAGAAAAAAGAAAAAGCAACAGAAAGAGAAGAAAAAAATGCTGAAGAAGAGAAGAAAGGGTTGGAGAAGTTAGCAACTTTACAATTTGTATTCAATTCATTAACAACTCCCTAACAATTAAAAAAAATAGAGTACAAATATTAAAATCCTAATTAGAATAAGCAATGGAGCTTATAGCCAGTAAATAAAATATTCAACAATAACTAAATTAAACCCAATAAATAAACTTAAATAAAATCTAATAACACAAGGGTTGGGCTATCCTCCGTCATCCTAGATCATATAGACATGTAAACCATATCTCGGGTCTGGTGTCCCCGTCACACTGTTTGTGGATTACTTATCAATCACTATGTAGTAAATCAGAATGTTTTATATTAGTATGTTCTCAGGAGAATCGGTGATCTTAATGGTGAAGATTCTTCTCTTGAGTTCTTGCTAGACCAGAAAAATTTGACTATATTGTGAGTTTCTGTAAATCTCAAGTAAGAGTTTTTTTTCATCAGTTTCTTACCCCGTCCTTTTGTTTTATTTTATATTCTCTTATAAGTGGATTGCCTATTATTTTTGCAGGATTTTGAGAAACTGTCTACTCTCGGGACAAATTCCAGACCAACTGGGAAACTTCTCCCAGTTGCAAGAACTGTAAGTCACTTAGACATCAAAATTTGTGCATTAGGAGCTTCATTTTAACCTGTGCAAAACAAATTTTTCATGACAGGGATTTGAGTTTCAACAAATTAACAGGTCAAATTCCAGACTCATTTCAAGACTTGGCTTCATTACAATATCTGTAAGTTTTATACTCTACCACTTCGGTCTCCGTTTTATTATGATGCGATCAGTGAAGCTGATTCTTGTTCATCAGAACCATTCCACTTTCATACCTATGATGAATCATGTTCAGGTCATAAGATTTGGAAAAAATGGAACCTTTTTATCCGATAAGTGTATTTTGGCCAGCTGAAAAATGTGTTTGTTTCAGTTAGTCTATTTGGTTTTACTTGAAGAAATGTTGGCTATATATGTCAGGTATCTTGGAAGTAACAACTTGAATGGGCAACTCCCTGCAAATATCATAGGTCCAAATCTAATTGCAATGTGAGTGCCACCCTGAATTTATATACAAGGAAATTAAAACACTTATTATCATAATAACGCAATTAAATCATAAGTTAATGCCATGATAAGTTCATCCTCTCTTTCATCCTTCGTCTGCTACAATCTGAAAACTTGCAGCAGATGAGACTGAGGAAAGGAAAGGCTCAACGAATGTCAATTAATAGGAGCACTAATCGTTTTTGTACTGTGGATACTGATAAATTGGATCATACTTCTAGCTAAGACTAAGTTTTTAGTGGACACTTCATGGCAGAGATGTCTCGTTCAATCCCCTTTCTGGAAGTTTGCCACAAAACTCTATGAGGGTTGGATTATCAATGTAAGTTAAACTTTGTTTCCTTCTCATTCAATCATTCATGGAAGTAATCTTTACAAGTTTTTGTCAAGTGGTCATGCTGTAGTTAAGCAAGATGCAACATTTTCTTTTTCTTTTTCAGGAATGCTGTTGGAACTTCCATTAATGCAAACAATTTACAGGGGTAAGCTTTTCTGGAGATTACTATGTCATTGAAAATCTTTTGCTCTATATAAAACAGTACGTTAAGTTTTCACTTTCAGGATCGCACTCATAGGTCACATCAGATTCTGATTAAAAATATTTACAATAGGAAAACATCTATTGCCACAGTTTTGGTTGAGAAACCCTCATAATTTTCTCTAATCACAGTTTTGGTTGAGAAACCCTCATGAATTTTCTCTAATCAAGTGAGCAAAAATGAACGCAGAAAAGCTTCTGGGATGTTGCAGTGCCTCAAAGCTGATTTCAAGTGCAGCAACAAAGTTCCATCAAGTATAGCTTTCGAATTTCGGCATGCCTAAAACTGCTTTGTACATCATAGATTTTTGAGGATTGTTTATGACACAAGTTCATCTTCCAAACCTACTTGCATTCTATTTCCATTGCAGAAACATTTTCTGTCAAATGTGGGGGTACGGACCAGACATCTGCATCTGGGATAGAATATGAGGGTGATTTTGAATCAATGGGAGCTGCTTCACTGTACACAAGCTCAGACAATCTGTGGGCAGTAAGCAATACTGGGAATTTCATTTCGAACCCAAACGGACCACAATATTTAACACAAACGGGTTCTCAAATCACTGGAACTTTGGACTCTGAGCTATATAAGACAGCGAGGATTTCACCGAGCTCGCTGAGGTACTATGGCCTTGGTCTAAAGAATGGAAGATACAGTGTTGAGCTTCACTTTGCAGAGATAGGAATGGATGACTCTCATTCTTGGAAAGGCCTCGGAAGGCGCTTATTCGACATTTACATACAGGTATGCTGAAAAAGTCCCATTTACACGTAGAAATATCGATAAACCTATACAGGAGAAAGAGACAGAGACAGCTTTCGCTGTCAGACATCTATGTGCATGCTTGATGATCATTAATGTCATGACTGGCTTTAGGGAGAAATAGTCCTTAAGGACTTCAACATTAAAAACGAAGCTGGTGGATCCAAAAAAGCGTTGATTAAAACATTTGAAGCAAATGTGACCAACACAATCATGGACATTCACTTCTTCTGGGCTGGAAAAGGCACTTGCTGCATTCCATATCAAGGAACATATGGACCTTTAGTATCAGCCATTCATGTTTCTCAAGGTAGATCCATCCTCACATTTTCTTTCTCAAGCATGCAAATGTCCATTTGCAAACCTCCTTTTGCATTTCTAACTTGCTCTACCGTGCTTAATTTCTGTAGTATCTGATGGTGCTGGCTCTTCCAAGAGGGACAAGAAACGTGTAGGAAAACTTGTTGGGATATCAATGGCATGTGTGGCTGGGCTTGTGATCATCTCTTCTGTATTTTATCTATGGTGGATAAAAGAGGATTCATCTCAGCACATGAGAATTTACACTGGTCACCTGGGTAATGATTAATGAGAGAAACTTAATGACCCCACAACCACAAGGGTTGCTGCAAAAATGCTATGCGGCTAATTACCTTTCCGGTAAACGTTCCTCTGTAAAATAGCCGACTGTTTTCCAACAAGAAAGAATTTATCTCTACATGCAAAAACCAGCAATTGGAATTAGGTTCCCCATTCGATGCCAATGGGAAGCAGGGAATCGGTCATCGTGTGATTGTTTTTTTCTTTTTCTTTTTGCACCGTATGTTTAGAACTGTTGATGGGCCTAGAAAGAATGGTGATTCAAGGGAAAGAACCATGTATGGTGATGGCCTAAATGGGGTTTTATTGCTCTGAAAGTGAAAGCACTATTATATGCTTGTCGGTAGAGAAATCCGAAGGTTGTAGTAAAAATGGATTATCAATCATTTCATGCAAGAAATTATGCAAATTCGACATGAACAGTAACTAAAGATTTGCCAACTTCTGAGTGCTCTAACCCCTCCATTGCAGGGAAACCCTCCAAAAGTTATAAAAGAAAAGGAGGTATCTAGTGGATGCTTCTCTGTGCTCTAGCCTTGTTTAATCACCTTCAACAAGAAGGAATGAATTATTAATTGTCAATCAAACAAGAACACATTTGGGGAAAAACACATTTTTTGGGCATCCAATGTTAAAAGAGAACCAAATTGATCAGCTCCACCATCCCAAGGAAACCCAGCCCTACTTTAATGCATACCTTTTGCTAGTTCCCTTTCATCTTTTACTTTGAAAGGGCTTGTTTGGATGTAGTCATGAGATTCACAACAAATCAAATCGACTAGATGACATGATTGAAAAGAAGTATAATGCTTCAAACACTTCCTCATCGAAAAGGGTTCCTTGATGTTATGGCATCTATCACCTTCGTTGCTTTTGTTGGATCATATGAGTAATGTGCGTTGAAATCTCATGTAGAGACGCATCAAAAGTGTTTTGTATTGTTTATATAGAAAGTTTCCGTAGATGTTTCTGTTATTGTCATTTTATGAGCAGCCCTTTCTGGATTGGTTTCAGTGGAGGTTTGTGGATGAACTTTAATGTGTTTTTTATTTAAAAAATATTATTTTATTTAATATATTAATATTAAAAATAAATTTTAAAAAATAAAAAAAATATATTATCTTAATATTATCCCCTCACAACTACTCGTGGAAAGCGCTCTGGAAATTAAATAGGATTCACTCCCAAGAAAATAAAAACAAATCATAAAATAAAAGGCTGGTATTTATAATCTTTTGAGTATAATTTTAAAACTCAATTTATCTTTGGAATTCAATTTAAGATTTAATTGATATAGAATTAGAACTAAGTTGGGTTTAAAAAAAATAAAGAAAGAAAAAATTTAAGAGTAACCTAGCAAGACTTGATTGGCCTAGAAAGACTCGGTCAAACTAGTAAGACTTGATCAAAAACTCAATTGTAACTAGTTGATTTTATTTTTACATTAAAATAATATTATTTTGATTTTTTAAAAAAAATAATTAATCAAGGCGACCTAGTCAAACCCAAAACCCAGACCTAGGATCAAACTATATTTAAAAACTATACTTCTATGTAATATTAAATAATAAAAATACTAAAATAAAAATAAAAATAATATTATTAATAATAATAATTACAAAGATCAGGGTAGTAGTTAAGATATTAATAACCAATGAAATAGTTTATATACAATAAATAAAAATAATATATTATTTTTTTATAAAAAATGTATTATCATTCCTCATTTTTATTCTAACATCTTATAGCAATCAAACTATGTTTAATTTTCATTTTTATTCCCAGTCTTCTTTTCTATTGCCAATTTCATTTAGTTCATTTCAACTAAATGCCTACAAGGTAAGAATATATTTTTTTATTCGCAGTCACATTATTCCATTCTTTATTCTCAAACAATAACTAAGAGTATTTCATCAAGTTACGTACCTTAGTGGTACAATAATTGATTATTAAAAACATTAATAAAATAATAATAATTTTCCAGACGTGGAATATGTTTTCCAACTTTTCCCACAGAAAAGGTTTTTTTACTATAAAAAATTGTTCGCTGGCAAGCTAATGGAACCTTACATGAAAATGAAAGGTTTTGTAGTGGTGAGAGGCCAGAATTGACACGAGAGAGCCTCATGTTTGTTTTTAAGTTATAATTTATTTTTTAAAATGTTTTTTATTTATTTTTCATTTAAAAATATTAAATTAATATTTTTTTAAGTAGTTATTAAAAATTTTAATATATTAATATAAAAAAATATAATACATCGTAACATTAAATACATATAGTTTTTTCGGTTAATTCTTGATTTTTAGCAATTGAGGTTATGAAACACGGTGGATTTAAAGTTTATTTGAAAGTATAAAAAAGATTAATTTTTAAAGTATTTTTTATTTGAAAATACATTAAAATAGTATTTTTTTTATTTATTTCAATTATCAGTATATTAAAATAATTTATAAACACAAAAAAAAATTAAAAATCTTTAAAAATTGGTTAAAATGCAGCGCTAAACAGGATTAACAACCATGATATCACGATGAGATCATGTGCTTACAATTTTTAGAATATAATTTGAGGGTGACCCAGCAAGATTCGATTAGCCTAGAAAAACCCGATCAAACTAGTAAGACTTGGTCAAAAATTTAGTTGTAACTAATTAATTTTTAATTTTATACTAAAATAATATTATTTTGATTTAAAAAAAAATTAATTCAGACGACTTGGTCAAACCCAAAACTAGAACCTAAGATCAGATCATGTTTAAAAAAACTATACTTTTATGTAATATTAAGTAATAAAAAATAGTAAAATAAAAATAAAATTAATATTAATAATAATAATAATTACAGAGATCAGGGTAGTAGTTAAGATATTAATAAACTATGTTTAATTTTCATTTTTATTCCCACTCTTCTTTTCTATTGCCAATTTCATTTAGTTCATTTCAACTAAATGCCTATAAAGTAAGAATATATTTTTTTATTCGCAGTCACATTATTCCATTCTTTATTCTCAAACAATAACTAAGAGTATTTCATCAAGTTACGTACCTTAGTGGTACAATAATTGATTATTAAAAACATTAATAAAAAATAATAATTTTCCAGACGTGGAATATGTTTTCCAACTTTTCCCACAGAAAAGGTTTTTTTTCTATAAAAAATTGTTTGCTGGCAAGCAAGTGGAACCTTACATGAAAATGAAAGGTTTTGTAGTGGTGAGAGGCCAGAATTGAGACGAGAGAAAAGTAATCAGTAGAGCCTCAAATATAAGTGTTGGTTTTCAAGTTATAATTTATTTTTTAAAATATTTTTTATTTAAAAATATTAAATTAATATTTTTTAGTAGTTATTAAAGATTTTAATATGTTAATATTAAAAAAAAATCATTTTAATATATTTTAAAAAATATATAATACATAATAACAATAAATACACACAGTTTTTTTGGTCAACTCTTGATTTTTAACAATTGAGATTACTTGAAACACGGTGGATTTAAAACTTATTTGAAAGTATGATAAAGATTGATTTTTTAAATTTTTTTAATTGAAAATACATTAGAATAATATTTTTTATTTTTTAAAATTTTATTTTTATTATAACACGTCAGAATAATTTATAAACACAAAAAAAATTAAAATCTTAAAAAATATGGTTAAAATGCAGCACTTAACAGGACTAACAACCATGATATCACGATGAGATCATATAATTGGAAATTTATTCAAGTGGTGCAAAGGACATGGAGTTCATCAAAATCGAAAAACAACAAGAAAAAAGAGAGGGCATGCTCGAGAAAGTAGTGAACATTGTAATTACTAATTAGAACATGGATGGATCTATTCCTTTATTTTAATTTCACGTTTTCCATGCTTAAATCAAAGGGTTTGAGAGAGAAAAGTTCATGGATTAAGTGGATTTATTTTTTTAATTATTGTTCTTAATTTGCCACTCGTCTTAATCACTTTACTCTTTCCCCCCACATTCATTTCTTTAATATAAAGCAACTAAAGCTAGCAGTGACCGGATGCTTTTCATCTTTGTATCCCTCTTCCTATCCCTTTTCTCTTTGCATGCATCGCGTTGTCCCAGCCAAAAATAACACAGCCATCGAGTAGTTTTGACTAGTTTTTTTACTTGTTATTTGTTGATGGTTATATAATTGTATTTTTAGTAAAAATATTAAATATATAGGTTTATTTTATGTGTTTTTAGAAAGAAAATGTAAAAAGAAATTTTGAAGGATGAAAATATAAATATAAATACTTAATTTAAAAAAATAAAAAAAGTTGAGATAATTAAAGTTAAGTTATCAATCCTATAAATTAGATGATGAATCTCATTAAATTTGATAAAAAAAATTTATTTTTTAAATTATTTTTTATTTAGACGAGAGAAAAGTAATCAGTAGAGCCTCAAATATAAGTGTTGGTTTTCAAGTTATAATTTATTTTTTAAAATATTTTTTATTTAAAAATATTAAATTAATATTTTTTAGTAGTTATTAAAGATTTTAATATGTTAATATTAAAAAAAAATCATTTTAATATATTTTAAAAAATATATAATACATAATAACAATAAATACACACAGTTTTTTTGGTCAACTCTTGATTTTTAACAATTGAGATTACTTGAAACACGGTGGATTTAAAACTTATTTGAAAGTATGATAAAGATTGATTTTTTAAATTTTTTTAATTGAAAATACATTAGAATAATATTTTTTATTTTTTAAAATTTTATTTTTATTATAACACGTCAGAATAATTTATAAACACAAAAAAAATTAAAATCTTAAAAAATATGGTTAAAATGCAGCACTTAACAGGACTAACAACCATGATATCACGATGAGATCATATAATTGGAAATTTATTCAAGTGGTGCAAAGGACATAGAGTTCATCAAAATCGAAAAACAATAAGAAAAAAGAGAGGGCATGCTCGAGAAAGTAGTGAACATTGTAATTACTAATTAGAACATGGATGGATCTATTCCTTTATTTTAATTTCACGTTTTCCATGCTTAAATCAAAGGGTTTGAGAGAGAAAAGTTCATGGATTAAGTGGATTTATTTTTTTAATTATTGTTCTTAATTTGCCACTCGTCTTAATCACT